GATGAGGTGGACCGGCTGCTTTCGTGGCGTGGAGACAATAATTTGGCCCTTAATATCAATCAGACCAAGGAGCTTATAGTGAACTATAGAAGGAATAGATTAGATGTCCAGCCCCTGGTTATTAATGGCGACTGAGTGGAGCAGGTGGCCAGTTTTAAGTTTCTGAGTGTTACCATAAAGGAGGACCTGACCTGGGGCGCTCATATTGCAGCCTTGGTTAAGAGGGCCCAGCAGAGATAATACTACCTGAGGCTTCTCAGGAAACAACTGAATGAAAAACTGCTGGTGACCTTCTATCACTGCACTATAGAGAGCATTTTAACCTACTGCACCTGTGTATGGTTTGCTAACTGCACAGTGGGAGATAGGAAAGCGCTCCAGAGGGTTCGCACCACTGCCCAGAGGATCACTGGTTGCCCTCTCCCCTCTTTGGGAGAACTTTATAGTTCCCGCTGCCTTAAGAAGGCTCAAAACATTCTTAAGGACCCATCCCACCCGGGACATTCTTTTTTTGAATTATTACCATCTGGCAGACGGTACAGGATAATGAAAACGAGGACAAATAGGCTGAAGAATAGCTTTTATTTCAGAGCTGTAACTATACTGAACTCTACCGTATAGTGCAGTATTAATGCAGTATCAGGGGTTGTGCAATGGTGGATGGCATGTGAAGGCTGTGTTTTATGTGTTTTATGGTTTTTATATTTTTAAAGCTCCACTGGGGTGGCATTAAATTTCATTGTACGAGAAGTACAATGACAATAAAGATTACTTTGACTTTGACTTTAGTGATTCCTTCCTCCAAACCAACTGATGACATCTACCAGGGCTTTCCTACAGATGCGAAATATTATGGGGGGAGAGAAGCAAGCCTGCGGGGGGTGCAGCAGCCACAGGCTTGACTGTTCCTCCCTTATGACCAGTGACTCCCAACCTTTGCAGGTTGTTCAGAAAGACACCATGGTTGATGGTAATAAGATGCTGGATTAAATGAAGCAAGAATGCTCTTTTGGTATCGTTTGACAAATTAAACCTAGTCTGATATCACCATCACTCAGGAATCACAATTGGCTAGGTTCATATCTAATCTGTGATGGCTGAATGCATTTAACTATACAATAGCAAATCTTGGTTTAATTAATAATTTAAACCTTGTCAATGATTAGCTCAAAGTTACCCAGTGAGTTTTATGGGTAGAAATCTGAACAGCTATCTAAAGTCCAATGTTCCTTTCACTTGTCTTTCTGCCCTTTAATTTTTTTTAATTATTGCTCCTGGCTATTTAGTTCTACATTTGCTTTCCACTCCTCTCAGAAATAAACAGGGCACTGGTTTTCTTGGAAAGTTGTTTCTAAAGTAGTAATCGTTGAACTGAAGCTTGGCACCAATATGAGTTGATTCTTTTTCCTGGCTGGGGCGTCCCTAAGCTGGACCAAAATTACTTTTAATAGCTCTTGGTACCCAGAATGCAAATTTGTCGAGTCCAAATCTCCAGCTTGGTTTCATCTGAAGAAACTCCCATTGTCTCCAGGATCCTGCAAAGGGGAGATTAAAAACATTAGACATCAATGGATGTCTATATTTTCAGTGGAAAATATAATCCATAAGAATAACTATGTCAGAATGATCTCGGTTGACACATATGCCTGTCAATAGCTAATTACACAGTGGGGAACATAGTTTAATTGTCTATTTTCTGGTGTATATTCCCCAATAAGGAATTATTTTTGGCAGTACAGGATGTCTCAGCATTTTTGACTAAAAAATAGAAAATTAGTATGTCAGGTTCCAGCATACATCTTCCTAGCATTCTGATTTTCTGCATAAAGTCAATAATTATATCAATTCCACCTTGCAGTTCCTAGAACTCCCTTTTATAGAAAACCTATATAGCTGCTTCTCTGTTAACATTTGGATGTCTGATGAAGATGTCTTCCATCTTCTCTAACCTGCCCATCCAAATATATTGGGACTGCTTTGTTGCTGGGAATTTTGAGAGTTGCATACTCAACACATCTGGATGGCGCAAGGTTGGAAGATTGACTAATTCTGAGTATACCACTGACTTTATCTGCCTATATGTTTTCACTGTATTTTTTTGCTGATTATTTTAAATGTTGCTGTTTTAGTATAAGTCAATAATACAAGAAGAATCCCTTCCCTTATCTTATCTAATCAGGCATTCTCCATTGAACACTTGTCAACATTACCTCTGTTCAGCATTCTGGATGAGAGATTTGGCTGCCTCAGGCTGGGCTTTTAGAAAAGTGTGGTATAGGGAAAAGGACTGGATATATCCCAGCAATTCAGAGACACTTACGGGGATTTTATCGACAATATCCGTGATTCTGTAAGGAAGCAAAATCCTTTAGGGCTGAGTCGTAAACCTTATCCCCCAGGTTCTGCAGTCCAGATTAATGGAATGATCCTCAGTTTACTGAGGTTCACCTAAGGAAAGGCCACTTGTAATTAGTACTTGGAATAAGAACGCAATCCGTCTATTTAGAACAGTGTTTCTCAACCTTGGCAACTTTAAGATGTGCGGACTTCATCTCCCAGAAGGCTGGGGAATTTGGGCAATTGAAGTCCACAGATCTTAAAGTTGCCAAGGCTGAGAAACACTGATTTAGAACAATGTCCCATTGAATAGAATTGGCTTCACTTTTCAGCAGCGGCATTCCAAGTTCTAACCAATTGCAGAATGAGATGCGAATATTCCCAGCCCCCTTTTCTGATTGTCAACCTGCCCCCCCTTTTTTTCTGCTCAGAGGTGGTAAACAAAGTCTACTACTCACCTGTCTGCATGATCTCATCTTCTTTGTGAGGGATCTCACAAAGTATACTGGATGGGCAATTGATTAGAAGATGTTAAAGCACCTTCCAACTCTTACATTCTGTGATTCTAAAACTGCAGCCACAAACATACGGTAACCATTCTAAACTGCATACTGTAAATCAGTGTTTCTCAGCCTTGGCAGGTTTAAAATGTGTGAATTCCAACTCCCAGAATTCTGGGAATTGAAGTCCACACATTTTAAAGACGTCAAGGTTGAGAAACACTGCTATAGATACACAGAAGGAAGACAACCTTGAATTTCAGATGCTCTCCAACAAGGAAGAGAAACAAAGAATTATAAAAGCATAGAAGAATCCTGTACAATACCCAACCTCCCCACTTTTGCCATTTAGAGTTACCAACTCCAGCTGAAGCCTGTCCTGGAACTTGTCTCCCCGCACAATGTGTGCCTGTGATACATTTGTTATGTTTATACATACAGTATATGTAGATGCCTATAAATACCTGTCATAAACCACAACCTAATAAAAGGTAGGGGATGGATGGATGGATGGACAGAGATAGATAGGTATAGGTATAATAAATTCATAACTGAGAATAAATTGCTTGTAAAATTAATTCCCTATAAAATAAGGCAACCTGTTTCCAAACTAATACCCACCTTCTCTTTTATGCACAAGCATTGTCCCACACTCTTCTCTACAAGAACACAGAGCTGTAGAAACAGCAGGCAAGAATAGGCAAAAACAGCACTAAGAGAAAGGGGAGAAGGCAGGAGCAAAACTATATTGTGATTAGGAGAAAGAAGTAATAGGAGGGGAAGAAAAAGGAAGAAATGCCATCTAGAGTTGGATCCTTCATTGTGTTGGATCCTTCATTGTTCAGCAGTGAATTCTGCAGCCATTTCTACCCTTTACTCATTCCTTTACTTTCAGTGGCTTCTTGGACTCTTATCAGGGAATGCAGGGAAAATTCAGAGATAATTATGTCGGAGGTTGGTTTCTCTTCCTATTGGGTAAATATGATCTGTTTCTCCAGCTTAAGAAACAGCTACATTTATCAGTTGCTGGTTTGGGAACACGGCCAACATGGGCCTGGGAGCAATCTAGGGCCACTTCTTCCCTCATTCAGTGCCTTCACTGGCTGACGGATTGCCCTGCTTCACATACCGCAATGAACCATGATTTGCTTCTAATGGCATTTGAATAAACCACAATTTGCCTGAGTTCTTACCACATACTAACCCAAAACATAATTATACCTTAATATAATATAGACACCATTATACAGTTTGAACTCTATAGTTTGAAATGGTATACATTCACATTTGCTGCTTCATAGCTTGGTTGGTATGTCATTTTCTTTTCTTCTTCTTCATCATCATCATCATCATTTATTAAATGTATATGCCACCCAACTCCCAGCGACTCTGGGCAGTTTACTAATTGTTAAAAACATTTAAAAACAAATGCATGGTCTGTCTGAGGATTGCTGGGGCTCTGCTTCTGGACCCACCATCAGATTCTAAAGTCCCTGCAGCCACCGGGTGCACGGATGTAGGATGGCAACTTTGACCTGCACGGTTCGTGCTTGTGATTTTATGCATGGGCTGAAACCCACAATCTGCTACCTGCACAGTCATAGAAACTCACAGTCCGACCACTCACCTTTCCTTATCCTGAAAGGGCAGAGCATCAAATATTGTTTTATACTCATCCAAAACAAATTTGATCCTTTCATTTGCATAAGGAATCAGCTGGGTTTGAATCTGCAGAAAAGAAGAGGGGGAAAGCCTTGGAAGTGATTTCATACTAGACCCTGGTGAGCTTTGCTCACCCCTTTTTTGTAATGGCATTTACCCTATCATCAGTCAGGACAACAGCATCAAGGCATGCCCCCTTACCCAAGTCCTTTCCCCATGTGCACGCTCTCTCAATTCCAAAATCCAGTATTGCCCAATGAAACTGAGGGATGTTGAACAGACAAAAGGAAAGACAGTGCATACAATGGATCTCATTCCCAAATAAAGCAGATTCCTTGCCAATACCGAAGATAGGACTACTATATCTCAGCTGCAAAATACAGACCACCATTAGGTGGCAGCAAAGACTTTGAGTTGTCTGTTACCTCTTTGTTGTCGTCTAAGGTTCCTGCAGGTTTTGCAGTGGTCATCTAACTGTAGGGTTTAAAAGAGGATTCAACCATCCACGAACAATAATGGAGGAGTTCTCATAGTATGCAGTGTGGCAACAGGTACCATCACCTACCTAGGTGCTCGCAGAGTGCTTACCTCCTTGAAGATCTCTGTCAGCTTCTCTGACTGATCTCTATAGTGCAGTTGCAAATCAAGGGTGTTGGAACACAAGATGAAGCAGCCAGATGGTTTGAGAATCCGGTCCATTTCCTTTACGAAGCAGGGTACATCAAACCAGTGCACAGCGCTGAAGGCCGTGATGAGATCCACAGAGTGATCCTTGAAAGGCAGCTTCTCTGCAGGACACGTGCTGTGGGGGAAAACAGCAAAGCTGTGACTACTTAGTGTTCATTTGCTGCCAGAAAACAGTTAATTGCATCTGCCTTCCAGACCATCATCTGGTGAAACTGTGGCTGCATTTTTTCCAGAGTTTCTATTCCTTGCTTCAACTTGCTTACCAAAATTAAGGAGCCAGCCGCCTTGGCTGGGCCATGTAAAACCTGTGCATAAAAGGCAACATTTGGTCTATGTATCCTGAGCTTTTAAGGGGGTGGATCTGAATACTTTGGAGGTTCAGCAGAATCTGGGGAAGGGGGAACCCATTCTCTTCCCAGATGCTCCGTAATTTTCCAATGATAGTACAAGATTGGAGAAAAA